AAGCATATGTTCATAAGTGTAGGTGTTTCGACCAATTACACCATCGGTGTCGGGCCAAACCCAAATACGGCATTTCGGACCAGCGTACCAAATCGCTCCCCCATTTCAAACCTTTGATGGATCCCAGACGTCAATCACCACGGCAATCGAGAAAGCAGCCTCCCTCTAAGCATCTCGCCAGGGATCGAACTAGGAAGCCGAACCCGCAAAGTACGGGCATTTTATTCAAATAGCAGCAGGTGTATCACCCAGAAGCGATCACAACCCCATTTCGAAAAGCAGGTGAGATTACCCAACAAAGGTAGAATCAAGGCATCCGACAAAAATCCATAGGCGGCAGAAGGAAATACCCCACTGTATAGCCAGCGGCAGACGTCGACTTCTCCGCCCTCTGAGGGATCCAAGGGCAAGTGGAGCCGCATGTGCGACTAATCCTAGTTGGACACGGCAAAAAGGCTACATTGGAGCTCGCACCCCAGAATGGCGAGAGAAGATCTAGACTCGAAAAGCATTACCTACACGCCCCACCACAAGGGAGGATTACTTCGTTTTATTACTATCCCTTTTTCCTTTTTTTACTAACCTGCTTGCAGGCAGCCAACCGAGGCATTCGAAAATCCTAAAATCCACGAGGAAATCCAAGATCTCTACAATATCAGCTGAACTCTCTATCCTCGAACGGACCGCCAGCCCGTAGGGAGGTCCCGCTAGCAAGGCTATTAGCAGAACAAGCACACCCTCCAAAAAGGGACTCGACGTGATTGTCGACCTTCCATTTATGATCAGGCGATGAATGTCGAGTTTTTTCTTAAAGGGCACCATCCCCTCAGGAGAGCCAACAAATGATAGGCTAGGCTTCGGGACAATACCCTACAAGCATGTCTGACGATCGGAGAAGCCGAGCCCGTACGGGCCGAACTCACGATGACGAAACAATGTGTATTAACAGTCTATATCTACGCCAAGCAATGAAGAATATATTTTTGGCATTCTGCCATGGCCTGTATCTACTCCGAGCAATAAAGGATATCTTCTCGGCATTTCGCATTTTGAGAAAAATTATTTTGACAATATTCGTGGCAAACGCTTCTCCATCGAACGGGTCCCGATATATTCAGAGACTTAATATAAGAAATTCGACAACTTGCACGACCCCAGGGTCAAAACTCTGGGCTCATCAAGCCCATGGAAGGCTCGATGACTCGGAGACTACTATCAATCGCCATACAACTGGAATATCCGAAACTGTAAGACCCTAACGGCAGCCTCAGCATAACCAGATACATTCTACAAACTGTAAGACCTCAACAGGCATGGCAAACTGTAAGACCTCAACCGGCATAGCAAACTGTAAGACCTCAACAGGCATGGCAAACTGTAAGACCTCAACCGGCATAGCAAACTGTAAGACCTCAACAGGCATGGCAAACTATAAGACCTCAACATGCATGGCAAACTATAAGACCTCAACATGCATGAAAATCCCGATACTTGGGCTATACGTCGCATTTGTAAGAATCCCTAAAGGGCATACCCTCAACGTAGACGCCCAAACTATCACTAAGGGATCCAAATGGCTACAACAAAACGCATACGACTACGCTCGAAACAGCTGATACCGCTCAAATAACTCAACTCGGGGATGCCCGACTGTTGCCAAAAAATCACAGGCCATTACTCTGATATACTTCGGAAAGAACTGGTTAAAATAGGCTTCCCTCCACAGGCAAAAATGAGCTCTGACAATGTCAGCTTCGAAAATGCAAAAGCGTCGATCTGCTCGACCCACGAGCTATGAACCTTAAGAGGTACTCGAATCATCGCGGACAATGACTTGAAATCGAGGTTCCTCTAGAACCGACGATGGGTCATACAAAATACTACAAAAGACCTTAATGAGCGGATACAAAGCCTATACAAAGCCCACGGGTAAAAAACAGCGTAAGAGCCATTGTCACCTGCTAAGCAAGCCTCCGGCCACATACTTAAAGGTCTCTACGACCGGACAGCGTAAGAGCCATTGTCGCCAGCTGAAAAATCTTGACAACTTGATGATTTAAATGAGCTCGAATCATAACCCGATTTGGAGACCGAATCTAAAATAGTTAACTATACAAGCCTACGGGCCACAGATTAAAAGGTCTCAACGACCAAATGGCATAACAACCATCGTCGCCAGAAAATTCAAATAAATTTTTAGGGTTGATCGCAGCTCAAATCGCAATGCGATTCGATAACTGGGCTCGAAGATCGCAAAATGCCTATGGGCGTGGCATAAATGCTACTGTTGCCAGGATCTTTAAGAGATTTAAGGGTTGATTACAGCTCGGATCGCAACGCGGCTCGGAAATTGGGCCCAAAAATAGCCAGACGCCCAAGGGCGGGAAATGAGAAGACACTATCACCAACCGAAAGTTCACGATAATTCGAGGGTCAATTACAGCTCAGATCGCAACACGATCCGTAAACTTAAACCCTATGCCTAAGGGCACAGCGCAAATGTCATTACACCCAGAGACTCGACGAAATATAAGGGTCAATTACAGCTTGAATCGCAACGCGATTCAGAGACTAGACCCGAAAAATCACAATATACCTAGGAACGTGGCATGCAATCCATTATCACCTGTCGGAAAACCAGGGAAACTCAAAGGGGTCGATTACAGCCTGTATCGTAATGCGACCCAAGGACTGGACCTAAGAACTGCAATAAGCCTAAGGGCATTACACGTATGTCGCCATCGCCAACTGAGTAAACCTTCCGAACCAATCGCCCGTAAGGTCATATCAACCCAAAAAACACAAAAATCAGTATCATCTGCCTATGCAGGCAAGGAAAAACATAGGGGTTAATCGGAGCTCGAGTCACAATGTGACCCAGAGACTGGACCCAGATCAATCAAAACAGCAAATACCCAAGGGCACAAGGTAAATATGACCGCCACCCGCAAGAGCGGACACAAAAATTGCAAAGACAGGGAGGCTTGAGTTGGAGTCCGACCCAGAAGCTAAGCCTAAGCGGTCGGGCCGAGCATAAAGGCCTAGCACCTGCTTGCATCAAGAATTACACTTAGTAGTCCCCGGGGACGTCCGACCAGTTCCGAATCAAGAAAGACCTCGCCAAACGCCAAGACCAGCCTTCCTGACCAAAAACAACAGCAAGAAAAAGGTATAGAAAAAATAAAACTCCAAAATTTTGCCTTATATATCATGTGTGCCAGAAAAAGCGTATTCTTCATCTACAGGCATGTCATACATATATTCGGAACAAAAGCTACAAAATGACTAAAGCTACACTCTAAAGAAGTACAGCTTGCCAAAATCGCCCTCAGCAACATCGATAAGAAGTGACCGAGCATTGCGCTCATCCGCCCGTGCTTGAGCCAATTCCTCCAAGAGAACAAAGCCCCTTGCGGCAATCTCCTCGAGAACCTCTCTCTGGGATTTGCAGCGAACAAACTCCTCGATCCTCCGCTCCCGGTCAAGGGCTCATGCCATCTCATCTTGGGCATCAGTGACATCCTTCACATGAATTGCCACCTCACGATTTGCCTTGGTTCGACCTAGAGCCGCCTCCGTCCGAGCGACAATTATCCCGGTCCTGACCTTCGAGAGGTCAGATTCAAGTTTCCCAATCATGTCCGCTTGAACTTTGGCATTATCATGAGTCAAGTAGAGCTGGACCTCGAGAGCGGGGACCCTGGCCAAAGCGCTCATCTCCTCCAAAGCTCAAGCCTGCACCTGAGCCCTCAACTCCCCGCAAGCAATTCTGATGCGATCGACACTGCCTTTGAGGTACTCTAGAGCCTCCGACTTCTTCTGCAACTGATACGGCAAAGGGAAGTCATCCTCAAGATCAGAAAGGAGTAAAGCGTGCACCACATAAAATTACCTGCTCCTACAGATAGCTATGATAATTCGAGCTTCGGTGTGCCTCATGTTACCAATACTGCAGCTCTACTTCCCTCTCCTCGTTAAGGAGCCTAAGGGACTCACACTCACCGCGAATTTTTTGAAGCTTGGATCCTTGATGGAGCAGCTCGGCCTTAAGACTATCGCAGGCCTACACAAGGGAAGTTAATAGATGGAGAAAAACACGACATGCAGGGAAGCTATACATGAACTCACCATAAAGTGAATCCGGCGGACTTCCCCAAAGTCGAAACACACTCCTGACGATCCTTCTCTTGTGGCCCTCGAAGAACCAACTTTAGGCATGGCATGCTCGCTCAAAGAGGCTACCAGCCAGGTATCAGGTACCCTGGGGGCAACAGACTCGGGTGGTGCCCTTTCCCCAGAAAAGTGAACCTGATCAGCGCCGCTGGAAGTTCTATCACGATGAAATGGCAAGAACTCCATAGGAATAATATCAGTCGTCCAAACCCGGACAAACCAACTGGACCACTCCCAATCCCCGCCTTCCTCGTCGTCAACAACGAAGGCGTAGATGAGCAGCACCTCAGAGTTAGTAGACCTCGATGATAAAAGGGTTGGTATAGCCTGACAACGTGATCAAGCGTGGATTCGAGCTCGGCCTTCTCCGCGAAGAACTTCATTATCAACACCATCCGCCAAAACAACGGGTGAACCTGTGCTAGAGTGACCCGATATTCTAGACAGAATTCAAGCACAATCCTATTAGCGGACCAAAAGCGAAAGGATACAAATACATGTTTAGGGACCCATTAATGGAGTCCGCAATGCCCTCGTCGGGGGAAAGCGCTTGCAGAACTACCCCTTCGCTCCACCTGCAATATCTCCTCGCCATCTCCAGATGTTCTCCCCTTAACAAAGACGCCATCTCCAAAGCGAATTCCCTTAATTCCTGGGCGCCAGGAGCAGCACTTCTAACCCCTTGTCGGATCTTCCCCAGAGCAATTTCCATGGCTATGGCAAAACTAACAGGCCAAAGCAAAGGTACCTACCAACACTCTCATGCCTAGAAGGATGCAGTACCCTATATCAGAATAGAAAGGCTGCTATGCGAAAGTTGTAAAGTCCTACAAAAAAGCCGAGGCCACTCCACTTATATGCGAAAGGCAGCGACAATTTGTCTGCCCAAGGCAAGTCTCGGGAAGCCAATGACCTAGATACATGTCGATAGGTCGATACTCCGTCCCAAAAGCAGCCTCTAACGAAGAATCATAATTTGAAGAATTGTGCATATCATCTCCATGCTCGGAGCAGCATTCTCCGACGAGAAACCCTCGCCTAGAGAGGTCGAGCCTCGATGAGCTCTCGACGACCAACGCATAGTGCAAGGCAAGCAACCGATCCCACAAGTCACTCTCTCTAAGGGGGAAGAGTAAATGAAGGAAGCTCTGATCGCGAAAACTACACGCAAGCTCCTCAGTAGAAGTCTATCTTATACACAGTCTGAAGAGGCCATATACATCAAGACTAATGGGGGGCCCCGGGTAACCAAAGATTACCTACATCCGGAGTAGCGCCCCTAGAGGCCCCGGAACTCAACGTGTAATATTTGAACAAACCAAAGGGCCCCGATGTCCCCAACCTATCAGATCAGTTGGAGATTGGTCTGAAGCCCGACGACAAATTTAAAAGAGAGCCATGTCGATCAACAAAGGACCGGAATAAATATTTAAGACCGAGCTCGATATCAGCAATCAACAATAAAAGGAGACATTCGAAGGGCCTCGAAGGGTGTGAAAACACACAGAAAACAAAGCAAATTCGAAAGAAAAAATCATCAAAAGTTCATTTTTATTCATAAAAGTTGATATACAAGAAGCCCTCGAGGGGTCGTTACATACAATTACAAAAGCTTACGGAGGACTTCCATGCCTAAACCTGAGGAACAAAGGGATGTACATGCGATGAAACTCGGGAGCCCGATCCACCCTAGTGGGTTCATCTCCGGTATCAACATCCCTGAATGCTAGACCCTCAAAGCATATATGCTTGAGGGTGACTCCTTCGATCTCCACCTCCCATAGGTTCCTAACTCAATCCCCGGAGGGATTCCCACCGGAGAAGATAAAGAAGAGAAAAAAGAGGGAGCGCAGAGGAGACAGAGGAAAGAGACATGGCTCGCCGATGTCAAAGGTGAAAACTTGGCGAGCCCCTACCTCAGCAGCCGGTGTTTCCACCTTATCCCTTGGGAAAAAAGAGGACCCTAAGGATGAAGTGCCACACCAGACCCGGGTAGGAGAATGAGCAGAAGTGCATAATCCGAGCAGCCATCTACATGAGTGAGGAACCGACTCTCCGGTCACCATCATCTCGGCCCGACAATAGCAGCAGGGGGAGGTATATCAGCAACCACGGTGGTGGCGTGACGGTACATCTGCATCCAGCGAGAAGACATTTTGGAAGAAGGCTACGACACAGTCCAAAGAAACTCCTCCAAACATCCTTGAGACAGAAAGCTTCCATCACAATGATTAAGGCAAAAAAAGAAATTGATGGGAAGGAAGAAGTAAAGCATGTCAACAGAAGCATTTATATGGGAGAGGCAATGCCACAAAATGCCCTCATTTATAGGAGAAAAACGACACGGTCATCGATGCTCTAAAAGATTGACCGACGGGTGCACTTATTGCTTCTTTTGAATAAACAAATCGGCGATGGTGTTTTTGCCTCGAGAAGTGGAAACAACAAGGTATCGAGCAGGGATCTATGTGATATGTTGTCTGTTACAAAAAATTGCGCCTTGATCCGAATCGCCAGCGTAATGTCGTCAAAGGGAGCTCAAGGAATCGAGTGTCGGAATCATTTCCCATCACTTCATCATGGGAAACGCAGAGACTATTTGTACGCGGCAAAATCAGAAGGCTTGATTTTTTTCTATCAAGGCGCCTCAAAAGCTTTTTTCGAGACCCCGAGGGTAGGAGGCCGTGATCGAGTGCTTAGCCTCGGGGCTCGATGGAGCCCGACTCAGAGAAAGCAAGGTCCGAGTTTGGGATGAAAGAAAAACTCTCCTAAGTACATGGCTACACCTAACAGATCCGGCCTATCTAGAACCTAGCTTGAGTCGGCTTGGTTGGCTCCGAGTTGTAATGTTGAGGGCTGTGTTGATTCGATTGTTATTGAGTTTATCAGTAATCTGGGGAGATCTATGAGTTACTTTTCTATGTTGTGAGGCGTTATAATTTGTAGGTTATAGGCATATATGGTGCGGTTCTATTGGGGTTTATAGGCACATATGATTTGTTGGTTAACATTTGAAATGATATTTCCAATAATATTTTTGGGCTGAGCATCATGTTTTACTGTTGCCCGAGTGGCTTATGTGATTTTGACTAAGTAAGGCTAAGGGCCTGTATTGTGAGGATACTCTTGGATCGGGCTACACGCCGTAGCAGTGAGATACTGATTTGATTATGAGGCCGAGGGCCTGAGATATGTACGCTACGAGGTGGCTTCTGATTGATATGAGGCCAAGGGCCTAGATTTGATGCCACGTGATGGCTTGATATTGCTCTTGGGTCGTAAGGGGTCCCTCCCGGAGTCTGCACACCCCCTGTGAGCGCGGGTACCCATTGTGATGTGAAATTGAGCCCGAGGGGCTGGTATTGTTCTGAGATTGAGCCTGAGGGGCTAGTACCGTTCTGAGATGTTGCCCGAGGGGCGGATTTGATAACATTGTGCCTGTGGGGCGGAGATTCTGTGCTTATCTGCACTAATTGCTTGCATTCAATTGTAAAACTGTTGAAAAGTCATTTTTAAAGAAGTTTAAACTGAGCTAAGAGGTTTTAAGAGATTTCATAGCTTCACTACTTTCTTATACGGTTTTATACTACTTCTCTACAACATGTTGATATACTTTACGTGATTTCTTACTGCTCAGTTCTTATTTACCTTTATTACTCACTGACTTGGAGTACTCACTTTATTCTCTACACCTTGTGTGCAGATTTAGGTATTTATACACCCGGTAGCAGGTTTTGGCTGATTGGAGGCAGAGTCATCGGAGTTTAGCGAGGTGGCTGCCGGCGTTCACAACACTGCTTTTCTCCCTCTTCATGCATTAGTTTTGTTTTGTATCTTTTAGACCTTTCAATTGTATTTATACCCGTAGTAGATGCTCGTGACTTGTGACACCCTGGTTAGGGCTGTGTCGGGTTGTACTTCCGCTAATTATTATCATTAAACCATGTTTAAACTGCTTATGTATTGTTTAACTGATTTAATAAAGTGAATTGGGCTTAGTTGGCTGGCATTGTCTTCATGAGAGGTGCTATCACAATCGGGTCGAGGTTTGGGTTGTGACAAGTACCCTGTGTTGGTGATATGATGAGGCTCGTGACGCTCTGAGATGTTATCAGAGAATGTCGTACCCTATGTTGGCACTAAGCCAGGGGATGTAGTACTCTGTGTTTGGAAATAAGATGAAGATCGTGGCTCTCTGAGATGCAACTTGGAGATGTCGTACCCTACGTTGGCAATGATAAATACAACCAATGGATGTAGTACCCTGTGTTGGTAATAAAATAACGCTTGTAGCTTTCTAAGCTGCTACTAGGGAATGTCGTACCCTAGAATGATGCAGTCCTTATGAGTTCATGTTGTGCAAATGAAATTCGGGGACTCCTGGATGGTTTCCACCACAGTTAGAGAGGTATATTCTTCCTATTGGCATAAGGAGCATGGGATGTATAGTGGTTCTCTCCTAGAGGGATCAACTGGAAGTACTTGGCTAGTGGAAGGCATGGTCGCTTGCGGTTCGGAAGGGATATAAAGTTCTCATGGTTATCCTAGGATGGTATGGGTTATGTGGTATGTTGTAAATGATTGAGAATTGCGTGTGTAAGGTTGCGGTTCAGTTCTGAAAGGAAGGTCATAAAATTCTTAGGCAGCACGGGCAGTTTTAGATGATTAGGGTAATGATCTTCAGATGATTAAAGAAATGGTATTGCTAAATGGAATGATTTGATGAGGGTATATGTTTTAGAAAAAGGCAATGTGATTAAGTTGATGGTACTTCGGTAGTATTGCGGCACTTTCTTGTTAGATCGACTACTGATATTTGAGTTTGCTTGGTGTCATAGAGGGATTTTAGAATATGTCACGTGGAATGATTGGGATTAGGTATGGTGATTCGTGTGCTATATGGAGTTGGAGCCGGGGAGATATCATGTTCAGGCTATATTGTAGTTGTGGGTCGCGTGTATCGCCACTATTTAGTGACCATCGGGAATTTCGGGACCAAGCAGATCTTTTGTGCTTGGTATGTTAGATTTTAGATGTGATATTTGGTTTAGACTGGTTGTCTCCGTGTTGTGTCATTCTGGACTATTACGCTAAGGCGGCTCTATTGGCTATGCCGAAAATGCCACGAATTGAGTAATGAGATTCGATGGATTATGTCCTATTGGAGTGGTTTTATATTTTGAAGACCCAGTGGACGCTTGGGGCGGATTGTCTTTCTTATTTGGGCTCTCGTGATGGATGTCAGCGTAGAGGCTCCTCATAAATTATTCAGTTCTAGTGATGAGCAACTTTTCTGGATGTGTTTCCTGCTGTCGGGCATGTTGCTGGGCAAAGTTGTTGATTTCGGTATTGACTTGGTGCTGGGCACCGTATCGTATGGCACTAGCAAAATTAAAGGAGTTAAAGGAGCATCTACAGGGTTTTCTTAATAAGGGGTTTGTTGGCAGGCCAATATGGATATGTTTTATAGCTTGAGTCGTCTTGGTTGGCTCCGAGTTGTAATGTTAAGGGATGTGTTGATTCAATTTTTATTGAGCTTATCAGTAATCTGGGGAGATCTATGAGTTACCTTTTTGTGTTGCGAGGCGTTATGATTTGTTGGTTATAGGCACGTATGGTGCGGTTCTATTGGGGTTTCATAGTGGAAGTCGAGGCGGAAGAGTAGTTGGATGTTGCTCGATGAATGGCGTATCGGTTATGTCCTTTTTGGTTTGTGTGGTGTATGTTATTTGCTTCACCATGGGTATGGTGATTTGCTTTGGTTCCAGACATCAAATTGCGCGTGGTTGTCAATTTCGAGCATAGTGACTTGAGATATTTCATGTAGACCAGTGTTTGGATAGGGTCGCGCATTGCAGAGAAAATATGTGGAGGTATGACCCTTCGGGTTAGATTCGTGTGTTCTGTTCCTATGATGTGAGACGAGTTCTCAGCCTTGTGTTGTGGTGGTACTGGTGAGCTTGAGATACACCTCTTTCATTTGAGTCATTTTCATGATTAAGTATGTTCAGACTGTTGCTTATTGGTGCGCGTAATGTGAAAGTTGTGGATTTTAGGCCTGTATTGATGTGTCATGTCACCAGAGTAGTGTGTTGGATTAGAGGAGATCGTTGGGATCATTAATGAATACGAACGGATTCGATTTCAGCATGTTGGAAGGA